CCCCCCGCCCCAGCCCCGCCCCTCACCTGAAACGTTCAGGGTGGTGAACACAATACTTTTCTGGCCTCCCACCAATAGCCACTTGTACCGCCCCGCCTGGGTGTCCTGGGCTTCCTCCGTCTCCAGCTGTGCCACGCCTCCTCGAATGCAGAGTTTCCACCTGTCCTCTACGAAGTCTCCTTGGGTCACATTCTGGAAGATGGGCTGACAGTCCCCGGAGCCCATCATGCAGATGTTGACGAAGGAGAAGGGGTTGGAGATGTTGCAGGTCATCACCGCAGGCTGGCCCCTGGACACAGAGACCACGTCCTTGGTGCAGGCGGGGTCGTCCCATTCTATGTGGAGAGAACCGTCACACATGTGGGTGACGGCTGGACCTCAGGACATTCACCAGCAGAGCTCCCCGACTCCAGCCTGCCCTGGGTCTGCTCCTCCCCACTGCCTCCCCTGGAGAGAGGGTGGGACCCCGAGACTTACTTCCTGTCTGAGCACTAGGGGAGACTGCGATAAGCAGGAGGGCCCAGAGCGTCAGGGGTGTGGGGAGGAAGGGCGTGGAGGTCCGCATGGCTGGCAGGGGTCCTGAGTCCTCCTCATTGGTTCTTGGGACCCTCCCTGGAGAAAGGGAAGCCGATGAGTCAGAGGCCTCTGGGGCCGCCGCGTGGGTGGCTGCAGACGTGCCAGGGGGCGGCGGGGTCCCCGAGCTCCTGCCGTCAGTGCCAGGATGCCCCCGGCCCCCGTCTGTGCCCGACCCTGCTCCGAGCCGTGCGCCCCTCTCCCCCTCCCTGTGCCTTTCCAGTGGGCAGTGCTGGCCACTGTCGAGCAAAGGGGACACAGACTGGTCAGGGAGCAAGTCGCCGGGAAAACCCCGTGTCCATCGTGCGGTGCACCCTTTCGGTCCTGCTCAGGCCGTGGAGGGTCCGAGCGACCCAGGGCAGCTTGGGACGGCCAGCCCCTCCCCGGCTCCCGCATCCCATGCCTGGGCCCTACTGCTTTGTCTTGCAGCTCCTTCAGGGGACACTTGGATGGGCCATTTGCCAGATTTGCTCTTATGGACCAGAAGCGACTTCCCGAGGCGCTCTCATGGGCTGCGATCCCAACGCCCTGGCTGCCTCCGCCGCCCTTCAATGTGACATTTGTCCCCATTACTTTAAACTGTGTAAAAGTGCTTTAAAATTGCCTGCTGGACCATTTGTTGACCCTATGATGAAAAAATAAATAGATTCTGGTTTTCTTCGGCAGTTTTAGTTTTACAGAAAAGCTGGGCAGAAAGTGCAGGGAATCACCGTGCGCCGCTGCCCCGGCTGCGTTTCCCGCCTTCGCCGGCGCTGCCGACAGCCGAAGAGCCAACAGTGCTGCTGTCACTGGTTGCCGTCGGCAGCTGACGCGCAGGTCGCTGCGGGCGGTGTGCCTCCTGCGGGCGTGGGCGACTGCGTGATGACACTTACATAGCATGGCGTCACACAGAGTAGCTCCACTGCCCTGAACCCTCCATACTCCGCCTGTCCCCCGCAAGCCCTGGCATCCACTGGTCTCTTCACCATCTCCACAGTTTTGCCTTTTCCGGAATGTCAAAGAGTCGGGAGCCTCTGGTTTTTAATTCAGCTGATTCTGACTGCTCTTCCAGTTCTGGGGGATGGGCAGAGGGCTGAGTGCAGAGCGAACCTGGAATGTGATGATCCCAGGAGCTTGGGGCCATCGGTGACCAGGCTGGGTCCTGACCCCACGGGCTCTGGGCTGAGCGAGGAGAGTGACACTGAGAAGGAGGACCTCCGCCTGGCCCGGCCACTGGACGCCCCGTTCTGAGTTCCGCTTGCTGCTTCTCAAGCCCGTTGGGGTCTGACCAGGTAGCACCGGTGGCCCTGCTTAGCCCCCTGCCCCACCCCCCAGTCCCTATGATGAAATGAACTCTTCCCCTGGAACCAGGGACCCAGTGACGGGGTGACCGTCCTGGTCCAACCTGAACCTGCTCAGAAAGTGTGAGGGGCGGAGATTGCACAGTTGGTGAGGGCTGCTGGCAGCCGTTTCGGTTTCCTTGGCTGTCAACAATCTCTAGGACCAGTATCAACAGCTCCTACCCATTAAATGTTGCCGAGAGCCTTACGTGGAATGGAAGGTTCTACAAAGAAGTGTTGCAACTTCCTGTGCTGAGGCTTTTGCTGGAAACTCAGATAAGATCTGCCATCTTTTTCCTGAATATTTTTACAAGATAACTTTTCTTAAATTGGAAGGCTCTGACACGCAATGACACCCAGCAGCCATCGAGGCACAAAGGTGTCCTTGCTGATCGCTGACGGTCACTCCTGGCCCCCGGGCCAGAGCCCCCCGCGTCCGCCTGAAGGGACACTCCTGCACAGGTGCTGTCCTGCCCGAGGCTGGGCTGTGCACTGAGCTGCGGGCCGCAGGTTGAGGTTAGGACGGTCACTCTGTGGTCCCTGCTCCAGTTGCTGGCTGGGCTCTGCGGGAGGCCTGGGCCTCTGCGTCTCCAGTCTCCTTCTGCCCAAGAACAGTCTGCGGAGGCCCCTGCAGGTCCCCGGATGTCCCTCCAGGACTTCCTGGGCTGCCCCCCCGTCCCCAGCCGGGGCTTCTGCAGGGTCTCGCCTCTCTCCCCGTGGTCTCTGGAGAATGCCCTGGCCTTGGGGTCGCCACCTGTGCGCCTGAGCCACTGGAGGACTCGCAAGTCTCCCTGCTCCGCCACCTCCAGCCACCTCCGCCTGGGCAGAGCCTGTGGCCCAGTGCTGCCCCGGTGGTCTTCAGGGGCGGGAGGGGGAAGGCCCATCTCTCCCCTGGCCCGAGGCGCAGGCCACACTCCTGCGGAGGCTGGCCCACTCCTGCCCTGCCGAGGCAGGTGAAGGCACACCTGAGCAAGCAGGCAGGTGTCCCCAGGGACATGTAGAGGATTCGCCCTCAGGTAACCAGAACAGGAACGTCTCCTGGGCGGCCAGCCTGGCGTCCTGGGCACTGGGCGAGGGGCAGAGCCTCCCATCAGTGGCTCGGTGTGTCCATGAAACGCCCAGCAGCACAGATGACACCAAGTCCTCGGTCTGGACACGTACTCCTCATGTGTGACCTCGGGACACACGGGAAAGACGGGGTCCATGGTGTCCACGAGGAGACACCCCCTCGAAACCTTCCTCATCGCATGCCTTCCTGACCATTGCAGGGTGTCTGTCCCTCTGGACAATTCGGAAGTCATGTTTCAGGTGCCAAGTGAACTCTCAGAAAAGCTGACAAAGAGTCAGTGGATGGGGAAGCCATTCCACAGCCCCCGGTGTGCAGCCCCCACGCCTGCCAGGGCTTGCTCCAGGGACGGCCACCCAGCCTGGCTCAGCCACCTCCTCGACAGTCCCACCCCCGCGCCCACACGGGCACGCGGCTCCTGGCCCCACCGTCTCCAATTTCCTCAGGGCCTCCAGGCGCTCAATCCCAAGGGACCTGCACAGGCTACCCCTCCCCCCGCCCGGGGACACTGCACGGTCACCCCCACAGCAGGCCGCCTCCGCCGAGCTGGGCAGGACAAAGGTCAGCCTCGTTCCTCGCCTGAAGCACGTGACGAGAGAGGCGGTGAGCCCAGCAAAGGCGTGTTTCTGTGACACGTGCTGACCTGCACAGGTGGACTTTGGGAGGAAGTGTCTGTGGACGAAGGCAGCCTGGCCTCTGTCAAGTGAGGCAGCTAGATGAGCCCCGGAGGTGACCCAGGTTACAGAGACACATGGCGGCGACGCACGGCCGAGCCTCTGTCAGCCCCCGACCTCTGCAGCCTTCACGACGCCACATACCCCGAAATCCTCAGGAGTCCTAATGGTGACATTGACTCTGTGTGAGAACCTCGTGAACTATTTCAGCCTGTCCGTAGCAAGTACGCATCTGTAGCTGTGGTCAGATGTGCCATGTAGATGCACTTTGTCCAGCTATGCAATGAAATGACCGCGAGACGATTAAGCCAGGAAGTGTCGAGGACCCCCTACCACCAGCTGGCGTCCTGAGGGGGCGCGAGCAACGTCTGCAACGATGGCCCTCGGCCATCCTCCACTGTGTCCCCTGAGAAAGGCCGGAATCCGTGCCCACTCAGGGCTCCCGGACAGGCTTCTCTGCCCACTACCCAAAGACCCCGCCCCTCTCCGTACCGTCCCCAGGCCCCAGGCAGCCCTGCCCTCAGCCACGGGCACCTCTAGGGCTCTCCCTGTGGTCCTGCCTCTCTGTGAAAGCCCCTGGATGGTTCTAGAATCAGATAAAAGGATTCCCTGCACCCAAACTGCACCCACCTTGGGCCGGTGCCACAGCCCCCATCATAACTCCTGTGACTCCGCGTGGCACGGAGAGACAGCACTGCTTCTTTGCCAGGGCCTGTGGGGCAAGGCGCTGGGCGGAACCACAGCGTAGGCCCAGGGTCTCTAAGTGTCTGAGCCTGGGCCGGGCCCCACCTGGCAGAGGCAGTGGCGTCGGCCTCCAGGCGGGCTGAGCTCCCTGGAAGCTGACAGAGGAGGCAGGTCACTGAGCCTGCCACTGTCCTCAGCAGCCCCTCTCAAGGACCTCCTGCCCCAGCGACACTCGCAGTGACGGGCACGTGGGGGGTCCCTGGCAGGGTCAACAGCATTGGTGGGTGCCCGGGCCTGCCCCGCGGTCCCCAGTTATCAGCCTAGGAGGGCTTGGGCCTCAGAACAGAGCCGACAGGCTGGGGGAGACTCTGCTGGGCATGTCTGGGGGGGCGTGTACTCCAGGCTGAGAACAGCTGCTTGTCTCGCCTGCAGCCCTGGCAGGGAGGAGGGTTGGGTGGAGGGGGCGGCAGCGTCACCCTGGGCTGGGACCAGGTGTCAGGCTGGCTGCCTGGGAACAAGAGAGCCAAGCCCCTGAGCTCCCGCCCCAGCCCGAACTACTAGGAGCAAAGAGTCCACCAATGGTGCACAGTAGCCCCCAGCGAGGGCTGCTCAGCAGAGCCGCGTGTGGCAGGTGCACAGGGAGGTGTGTGTCCCCTGGGGCCTGCAAGAAGAGGCCTGAAAAGCTATCATCCTCAGCTTACAAATGACTTGGAAGGCCCCGGAGACATGGGTGTGAGTGGGGTGGGGGAAAGTGGCAGGTCTGGTCCTGCCCCTGGGAAACCCGGAAGGCCAGCCCAGACCGGGACTGGGGAGGGCCCTGGCTCTGTCTGGGCCTCAGCCCTGTCTGCCGCCCAGAGAGACAACTTTGGGTCATGCTGCATGATTTATTAGGGGAACGCTCAGGTGAGGCAGGTCCCTCTCCCGGCGCAGCACAGGCCCCCAGCTACCTCTGAGGGTCAGATGAGTGACCGGCCATCTGAGGTAGAAGAGTATCCCATGCGATATCTGGGACGCACTTATATTTTAAAAATGATTCATCCGAGATTAAAATGTGTTTGTACATTTGGCAGTTCCGCTCCCTGAGTCCTCACATTGCGGCCACCGGTGTGAAGGGCGAAAAAGCCGGCGGCGGGGGAGGGGCGGGGGGCGGCAGGGACGCGGGCGGCGGGCAGAAGGCCAGCAGCGGGCAGAAGGCCAGGCGCATTGCAGGAAGGCTGCGACAGGCCTGCAGGGGCCTGGAGGGTGGAGGTGGCGAAAACCGAAGGCGACATTTCCGATTTCTCTCAATCATCGACCAAGGAACCGCATCTGCACACGTAGCGTGACCCGTCCGGGACCCAGGACGACTGGGACTCAGGGGCTGTTTGCACCTGGGAGCTGTAACACACTTTGGAAGTGCACGCTACTGCCAGCACGCTGTCCCACCACGGGGCCTCAGAGGACGGAGCGGGGCGAGCCAGGGCGTCGGCGGGGGGCGGTCACAGCGGGTCTCCCTTCCCACAGCACCTGAGGGCAGCTCGCGCTGTTTTGCGCTGCGGGGGCGCAGGTAACAGCCACGCATGCGCATTCCGTGCTTACTGGGCCGGCTGCGCATAGTGCTGACCACCCGCCCTTCGCCAACCCTGTCGCGAGGCACCACCACCCTGAAAGGGCCTTGGAGCCCCGAGCTAATGAGCTCTGACAGAGGAGATGCCCAGTCCTTGTCTCTGCTGCTGCGGCCGTGGCTGGGAGGGGACCACAGACGGGCAGTAAAATCCCCCAGGCCACGGGCCAGGCGCACAAACCTGCCCATGACCGCCTTTGCTCACGCTGTCCCGTTTGCCTCGCTGTCTCCCCGCCCCCACAAGCCACCTCCTCCGACAACCCTCCTCCCCACTGCGGCCTGGTCACCCCCTACCCTGGTGCCTGACGCTGGAAGCACGTCTCCCCCGCTCTCGCTGTCACAGCCCCCGGGGACAGGCAGGCTTGCTGGGGGCTTTGGTTCCGCTCCCTGCGGCACAGAGAGTGGCTTTCACCCTGCAGGTCACTGACCAGTGGTGGGAACTGGATTCACAGATGGCTCCGCGGCCAAACCCAAACCGAAAGCGCTGGCGAGTGCCCCGCCCCCGCGGGGAGGGAAACCAGGCGCTTGGTTCTCCCGGGACGGCGTTTGTCGTTCGTGCTGAGCGTTACGTGCTGCGTGCGCGTTGGTGTGAGTCCACGGGTGTGTGCGCCTCTGAGTGCACACAAGTGTGTGTGTGCGCGCGAGTGTGAGTGCCGCCCCGGCTGGGCCCGGAGGAAAATGCCCCAGGTGTGGACACGGGTGGGAGGGGCGATGTCCAGCTTCAGGGGACACCCGGGACCCTGAGATGCTACTTTTCTGCGCCTCCAGGAGCCGAGCCGGGGACGCCCCGAAGAGACGCAGGTCCCCACAGCGATGCGCAGCCACTGTCCTCTCCCCTCCCCTGGGGCGCACCCTATGCCCCCGGCCCCCCGGCCACAGACCCCAGCTGCGCACTGCGGACCACGTCTCGGCAGCGAGAGGTGGCGAGCGCGGGCGAGAGGCGGGCGTCCCGCGCGCCGCAGCCTCTATCCCGGCGCGTGCTGGGGACCTCGAGTACATGGAACCCTCCAATATCCCGAGCCTCTCCCCCAACCTTGGAGCCTCCCACCATATCCCCGTCCCCGCCCAGCTGGCGCGCCCCTCACCTGCGACCCCAGTTCTCGACCTGTGCACCCCTCAGCAGCGCGCACGTTCCCGGCGGGTTAAGTCCCTCACCTGCGCTCCGCACCTGCGCCCCGCTCCCGGCCTGGGCAGCTCCTCCGCGCCCTGGCTCCCGCCGCCGGTCTGCGTGCTGGGAGCGGGAGGAAAAGTGAGCGGTCGGGGGCGGAGCCAAGGGACGGGACACTGTCCAGGATCCCGTGAGAGCGGCAATAAGTCCTACACAGAGGAAGAAACCTACACAGATGCAGAACCCAGTTATGGGAAGTCACCCGAGTATCGAGTATCGGGAAGTGCCCTGAATTCGCAGAAAAAGTTTACGGCTTTCTGGGGAGTGAATTCCTTCGCACATTTTTAGCAGAAGTACTCTGCTAAGCAGTCATTCCAAAGAAAACAGGAAGAGGAGAGTCACGCCTGGAGCTCTGTGAGGAGCTGGGTGGGGTCGCCCCCCGCATGGACCAGCGACCCCCCCAGGGCTCGCCTGCGTGCCTGCTGCGAGCCCACAAGGAGCCTTAAGGCTGAGGGTCTGAGGCCGGAGGGCAGGTGGGCATCAGCAGTGGTGAGTGGAGCCCGTGAGGAGGTGGAGGCGTCGCGCCCTCTGTCAGCCTCGGAGCCACGGCGGCTCTTGCGGGCTCCCTGCCACCCAGGCCCTGGGGCGTGTGGGGAAACTGTGGACAAGCGTCCCTGAGGCCCACTGTGTGAGGCCATTCCCAGAGGGGCCACTCGCTGCCTTGGAGAAGCTCTAGAGTCGGGGGTTCATTCGCAGATTTGCGCATTTCTCATGTGGGATGGTTTGGGTGCTTCTTCCACGATCACTGTGATGAGTCTCCTGAGCCTCTCCCGGGTCTCTGCGGCACATCCGGTGTCAGAGGGCTCCGCCTTCGCCCCATCGACGCCTTGCCCCACGGGCTCTCCAGCTCCAGCCTCCCCAGCACAGAGGGGCTGCGGTGCCCATCCGGCCCGCAGACGGGCTCTGCCCCTGAGCTCACGCCTCGGCCAGGGGAGCCAGCAGTCAAACAGACACTGGGAACGAGGGGACTCTGGCAGCGCGAGCAGGCGCCCTGGCTGGGGAGGAGCTTGGGGAGAGAGTCCCAGCAGGAGACCTGGTTCACCGGATGGCGAGGGGCCAGGAGAAGGGCTTTGTGTCCCTCCAGAGTGACCTGGGCAGCTGCTAGGCAGGGACGCCCATCATCAAGCCCACGGGAGGTGGGGGCAAGAATGGAGGTCCTCGCAGTGGCTCCGTGGGGCCGTCTGTGGCAGGGTGGGGAGGGCTCCGAGGTGTGGGGAGGACGGACGGCCCACAGATATTGGTGGTTTGGGGGGGTGAGGAATCCTGGAGGTCCCCAGTGCTGGTTGGTGGCTTGAGGGCCGTTCCCTTTCACTGGAATCTGAGGTGACACGCTGGCAGGCGGTGAGGGGTGAAGGGGGTGGGCGACGTCCCATGTTCCCGAGAAGAGAGAAGGATGCAGAACCCAGTCTGGGAGACCCTTGAATTTCGGGGGTGTCAGAGGAGGGGCCCAGGCTGGACATGGCAGAATGTCCCAGCTGCCCCACAGGCGAGTGTCTGGAACCTCTAGGGTGGTCAGAGGCTGAGAAGAGCCAGCTCTGCAGCTGGACTTGGGTCTGAAGGTCAGCCACCAGCCTGGCCCGTGGAGCTGGACAGAAAAGGACAGTCCTCCAGGTGTGACCGAGGCTGAGCTTTGGCCCGCTGGGCAGACGAGACCGAGTGGGCAGCCCTCACAGCAACATGGCACCATGGGCAGTGTGCAACGCGGCCCCCGCAGATGGCCGCGGAGGCCCAAGGGCCAATGCGCTAGAGGGAGGCCCCACCAACGACAACCCAGCCTGGGGACCACATGCCACCCCCATGTCCTTTGCTGGTCCCCCCTGCCTCCCATGCCCCGCCTCTGGGTCCAAAGAAAGGGCTTGTCCCTTAGGTCACCTCTCATCGCCCATCCAACCCCACGGAGGGTCCCCTGAGGGTCCTTAGGCAGGAGGGTCGGAGACCTTGTCTCCTATGCAGGGAGATGTCACTGGGACTTTGACGCCCATGCAGATGCTGTCAAAGCATTTGCACCTCTCGAAAATGAAACTAGCTTGTTTACTTTGGAAGGAATGCAAAAGCTTAGGTCAGGGCTCAGAGTTCGTTTAAACGATACAACAAAACAAACTTTGTGACTACTTGCAACTCCCGTGTCCCTCGAGGTCACTTCCTCACCTAACTGTGCCGCCTTCGCCTTTGCCTTCGCCTTCGTGTGCAATGCTGGGTCTCGCCTGCGGGCAGGCGCTCGGCCCCTCGCTCGGGCCCAGTCTCCTCAGCCTCCTCTTCCCTGGTCTCTGCCCCTCACAGCGCGTGTGGTTTCACTTTCCTTCAGTTCTGGGACTTTTCGGGTTTCAATTACGATTCCCTACTTCACGAACAAACAGCATTCGGCAGCACGTTCTTAATGTCCGGGGAGTGGGGTGCCCCTCCACCAGCAACGGCGCCTTCGTCAAGCCCCTGCCCCCGTCTCGGTGTCCCCACTTTTCACCGTGGCTGCAGTGCCCTCGGCGCCCAGCCGAGGGGGTCGATGGCGCGTCCGTCTCGCGCTCGGCCAGCAGTAACCGAGGGACCTGGGCTGGAACCGCCGCCCCGGGACCGTGGGGCTTATCAGTTTCTCCCTGGAATTCCACCTATTTGGTCGCTATTTTATGAGACGTACGAATATTTTCGATTGCCGTGTCTTCTCGGTAAGTCAAGCCTTTCTTAGGAGCTACGACCCTCTCTCCTCTCACCAGCCAGGGTATTCTGCGGGCTCTTTGTCTCACGCGGCCCAGGAATGTCCACTTTCTTTGGCTCGGATGTTCCGGACAGGTCATTTCCCAGAGCTCTGCCGCCAGCCACTGAGCGTCCAGGGGCTTCAGGTCTGTCTCTTGTCGGCAGAAAATATCTAGATTTTCATCCACTCTGACAATCTCTGACTTTTAGCTGGGATTGAGCCGCTTTTCACTCACAGGGTCGCTGGCAGCTTGGACCTCTTCCCTTATACGGCTTGTCCTGCCGCTTCTCATTTCTCTGTTAACCTGTTCTTACTTTTTCCTTTTTTTAATGAGATCAATACCTGTCCCCCAACAAGAGTTGCATGCCGTCACACGCTCCGGTCCGTGGCGGCCCCGGCCCTGCCAGCAACCGCCATGCGTCGACACACGTAGACTTCCATCCTGGCTCACCGTGGACCATCGGCTTTCTCGAGGCGTATGTCACCTTCCGGGCCCCTGGGCCCTCCTGCTGTCGGGGTAGGTGTCTGAGTAGCGAACCCTCGAGAAAAGAAAGGGCGCCTGAGCTGCTCCGGCTCCATCAGTGACCCAGGAAACACAGTGGCTTTCTAACCCAGGCCTGCGTGGGGACGGCCACGCACACGTCCAGCAGTCCGGCCACGCACTCGTCCAGCAGTCCCGGCTACAGAGGTAAATGGTCACAGAAGGCGCTGTGGTTCTTTCTACATCCTGACAGAGAAGAAACAGCGATGGCTTCCAGCTCTGTTCCCGGGACCCCCCACTCCGGGCGCTCTACACCCTACCCTATCTGCACACTGTGCGCTTGACATAGAACCAGGGCCCGGACATCCGCGACTCACCGAGCCGCCCGCGGGCCGTGTTTGTCTCTTAACCTGCTGCCTACACGAGCATCTAGGGTCAGACACCGACCTCGGGCGTGTCCTCCGTTTAGGCCTAAATGACAACTCTTCTTAAATTGCTAAAGGTTCGAGTCTCCTTTTGTGGACCCCGAGGGTCACCTTTGGGTGGCGTGTGACTGGGGGTGGCTCTAGCATCTCGTCTCCCTCCTCCTGTAGCTGTCCCCGTGAGGTCTTGCGACCAGAGCAACTGGTCAGACCCGAGGGTCCTCGTCCCTTTATCCACCACCTGTTGGGGAGAAACTTGAATTTCTCTTGTCTCTGGCTCCCCTGACCTCGCGTGCCGTGTTGGGGGACGGGGGTGGTGGTCCCCGCTTCTCCGTGTCGCCTGCACCTTCCCTCTCATCTCAGCTCCAAGAAGTGTCTCCTTCCTCTTGGCGCCTCTGCCCCGGCCGCTTCCTGTTTTACTCGCCTTTCTCCTGACTTCCCCATTTCCTGGCTCCCCCTTCCCTCTTTCTGCCCCGAGGCACCAGCTGGTTCCCCCCAGGCTGGTGGCCTTGGATTCAGTTTCTCTTTTTTTAATCTAAGATTTTTGCTTGTTTCTTTGTTGCTATTTTCTCCTTCTTGTTCTCCTAACTTAATCTAATTCTAACGTATCCGTGTTAGAAAGATTTTCAGTTTTACAGCGCGAGACTCGTTTTACAGCCTTGACCCAGCTGAGGTTTCCGCTCCTGATGACATCTGCAGCTCAGCGGCTGTTTTCCTTCCGAGAAGTGGCCGCAGCCCTCGAACGCCCCTCAGACATCTGGCCGCTCGGTCACATCTGGCCGCTCGGTCCCGAGCCAGCCGCCCATCCGCACTCTTGGGTTTCATTGTCTTTCTAGTGTCATTTCAGAAAGGATCTCATTTATTTAACATTAACCCTTCCTTTCCAAGACCGAGATCCGAATGCTCTTCGATTTTCTTCAGAATTTTATAAAGCGCCATCTATACAAATACTCCACATTTCTCACTAAATCTTGGGGTGCTGTGCTGCTGCTTTAGGGAGCGTGTGTGCTTGGGGCGCCGCCTCGCGCGTTAGTTCGTGGCACTTTCCAGAGTCGCGTTCCCCCAGTGGTCTTCCTGTCACATGCGCAGTGGCAGCATCCGGGGAAGTGATATTGAGGGGTGCTGGGGGGCCCCATCGGTGGCAACCCGGAAGGGCTGGGCCCGCAGCTCTGCCCAGGGTGCCCAGTGCCCAGCCGGCGCCTTGCAGTACAGTCCCGGAGCTGGGCCACGGCCGGGGGACCAGGGACGAGCACATCACTCGTTGACATCCTCTCCTTTTTGGGGAGAGGCCTGGCAAACACATCT